GACACAGTAAAGTGGCTGTACCAAGGTAGCTACAGAGTCTGAGCCTAGAAGCAGAGAGCTAAATTCAAGAGAGAATGGAAGTCAGGGGTGATGGAACATTTCTCTGGAATGCATGGAAAATGGAGTTATAAATTCGGTGTCAGGACCCCAACATCAAATTCCATTGCATGCCCTCTTGTTGCTTGACAGTTGCCTGCTACTGTGTTTTTAGCAAAGACGTCAGAAACCTGCATTTTGCAATTGCCGCCTCCCCCTTTCCAGCTCTAAACTCAGAACTCTTCTCCCTCTCATTCTTTACCTCTCAACCTCTCTGTAGGTATTGTTAGGCTAGGGCTGAATGAACAACCATCTTGGGAAGATATCTGTGTTACCAGCTCTTTGAGAAAGGTATGTATTGGTGAGATTGCAGATGGTGTGTGGACGAGGATACACTTTAGGGTAATATATTATCAAAAAAGAAATAAATTCTGCATCGTGAACTCATCTAGTCAGAGGTGATAGAGAGCTAACTAGAAATTTGTATATTTTCTGGGTGGCAGAGGACACTTTTCTGAATTTCAGTATCATTTCTTAGGTGGGCAAGTTACTTGACCTCTCTTAGGTTCACTCAGTTTATCATTTTAAAGGGGGAATATAGGCTTATGTCTCTTAAATGAGAAAATGCACTTGCAGAATTTAGCGTTGTAAGCACTCGTTATATGTTAGTTATTAACACTGGAAAGGATAATACTGAAAGGGTAAATTTTTTAAAAGGTAAAATCATGAGTCTCACAGAGATATAAAATAAACACATGTCAAAGATTTCATGTAACTCGTTATTAAGTGAATACAGCTGGTTCAAAGGGAAATCTAAAAAAAAAGACTCATTTATAAACCAGTAATATTAAAATTAACTGCTCCGAACAGTGCATAGTTTTCTTTTGAAGGCACACAGTAATCTTTCTTGCTTGTTCCAAATTTCCTGACATTGCTATAATTATTATTAATTACCCTAACTGAGTCCCCTCATTCATGCCCACTTACCAGGAAGAACTCTACTTTTGACATATCATAAATTTCATGTGCCTAAAATCCACATTTACAATATAAATATTCTTGACTGTTCAAGGTAGATTTTGCAATAGAGTTCCACTACTACAACCCTTTATTATCAAGCCTTCAATTCTTGGCCATAATGTACTAGCTTGGATTAAAGTCAAAGGGTGAAAAATATGTTGAGGCTTAAACAAGAAAGAAAAACGGAAGTGGTCACGCTGGCAATTTACCCGTTTAGAAAATGTCTGGGGCTATGAAAACTAAATCCACTGTTGGCAGAGCATGCTCAAGCAGGAGAGTCCATTTGGTGCGGGAAATAGTACTCAACCTTTCATTTTCAGCAATTTCATCAAATCTCTCCTGCTCGCTCAAATATTTATTTAGTCTCCTATAATTTATGGTAACCGTGGCACTTAGTATTACCCAGGTGTTAAATCGAACACAAAAAAAGGTAAAAAGAATAGTAAAGAAGTATCGAGTGATGCCCAAGGGAACTTATTAAGTGTATTTCATTTAAATAATCCAATTCAACGGATTGAGGCAGAACTCTTTTCTTAAAAAAAAAAGTACAACTTGAAAGAACTTGGCTTAAATTGGAGCAGACACCTTACCTGCAAGCTGCCCAGATCATTAATTTTAATAATTTCTATTGCACACTTCTGAAGTAGGCTGCACTGGTTGTTCTTTACACTTGCTCTGTGATGTAATTAAACTGCTATTAGGATCTACACTGGAAAGATGCACAATGAGGTCGGTGATAGGCACAAGGGAATAGTCAGAGCCAAAGGCACACATTCTATTTCAGCCAGTTTTTGTTTCACTTCTATGGAACCTGGGATTTTTTTCCTTCATAGAAACAGATCATTTCAGAAGGTTAGTCACATAACCTTGAAATACTCTTACAATCTCGTATCCTTCTCAGAAACTGCCTAGTTTCATGCCTTCCTCTCCACCAGTCTACACCAACACCATGCGCCTTCCTGGATTCAGCTAGTGAACTTTGATTGCAACGCTACCACATCTAAGAACGATTTTTAGAAGAGAAGGAGGAATATCAATGCCATTAATCATCGGGGAAGTGCAAATCAAAACTACAATGAACTATCACCTTCTACTTGTCAGGATAGCTATTGTCAGAAAAACAAAAGACAAATATTAGTGAGCATGGCATGAGGAGAAACAGGAGCCTTTGTGTGCCATTGGCTGAACGCTAATAATTAAACTTTTGTGAGTTTTGAGCATGTTTATCACCATTTGAACTCACTTAGTAGGAGAAAAATTATTATAATTGACTCTTCGATACTAATATGTTAGTACTGGAGGATAAGAGAGCATGGGCTTTGCAGGCTCAGTCCTTAAGTAGTTACTACTTAGTAAATAAAAAAAAATTACTTAATGTTTCTGAGCCCCAGTTTCCATACTTTTAAAATGGAATGACAGTGTCACATGGAGTTGCTGTAAAGATTATCTGCAATACATTGAGCATACCTGGAACAAAATACGCCTACACTAAATCATAGCCATTATTTTCAACTTATTACTTTAAACCTGTTTTCTGTGAATTAAGTATTCTTATTTTTTTTTCTGTCAAATATTAGTGAAAGGAGAATGTGAAGGTTTAAGTATGGCATGCTGCTTTTATTTTCCTAACCATATAAACTAGGTTATTTTTCAATTTCAGTGACATTTATCTAATATGTGGATAATCTGTGACAAGTGTTTTGTTTTAGGCTAAGTTTTAATAATGTATCACCAATCTAGGTGAAGTCTCCTCTGTCGGGTGGCAATTACTCAGTCAAGGAAATAAAATTTTATTGACATTTTCAGCCAAACTGGACCATTCATTCAAATGCAGTAATCCAGGGAAATATTATAAAGACAAATAAAAAGTGGTAGCACATGTTGGAAAGTAGGACTACACAGAGAGTGAAAATCCTCAGCCTCCAGTTCACCTGCCACATATCATTGTTCAATCCAAAGTCATCACTTAACTTCTTCGGGGCTCCATTTCATCTGTGCTGTGACCTGTCGGACCCCATATTCTCTGATGATAGATGCATAGAGGCACATAGAGTCTAAGCAAATTAGAAGTCATAAGTTACCAAAATGTGAGGAAATACATTCAGATTACCTGTGTTTTGAATACTACCATTTCCCTTAATTAACATGAAAATCAAGGATGTTTATAATCACCACTAAGAGTGATAGCACTAGCATTTCTGTAGCGCTTTGGAGTATATGAAGCGCTTTGCAAATACATTGGCTCATTTGGATGTCATAGCAACTTGTGAAATAGGTATTACTATGCTCTCCTTTTGACAGGTGTGTTTGTTGTGGGGGACAGAGAAAGAGAGAGAAAGTGTGTGGGGGAAGGGGGTGGGCATGGAGAACAAGTGTGCAAGAGTGTGCAAGGTCTTGTGAGCATGAAACCATCGTAGAGATCGGTAACGGACTTGTTCTAGGGCATTTATAGCTCTACAGTTTTTCTATTCCAACCATCCTAGATCCACTTCTTTTTAGTCCAAGCCCATTAACATAGAAATAATATTGGAAACTTTGCCTTGATAAAGTCTATGAATATGCCTTAGGGTAACTCAAATAATTAATCAATAATTCAAAGAAACACTGACTTTTATTACATAGAAACGGATCTTATAACCTTTCCAGACTTTCTGTTGGCCCTAAAGATGACTTTTCCTGGACAAGGCACAAATAAGATAATTTAATGACTTTCCGCAAGCTTTAGGACAACTGAAGGAAAAGTGGTCAAAACAATTTTTCCAGTTTTAAAAAAAGGAAAAAGAGCTTTAATCTCATTACAAACACAATACATATTTACTGCAGAAAATTAGGAAACACAGAAGACAATTTCAATTACATAAGTCAAAGAGCACTTCTCTTGATATTTAATATGTGTCAGTGATGACAACTGCGTTTGCTGCTTGTGCTTAAAATTGGCCACCTGTGATCATGGGAATATACCATCTTTCATTTTTTTTCTCCCTGAACCTGAATTTGGCCTCAGAATCTTTCCCAACACAGTGCCAGTGGGATCCATAATACTTGATCAGAATTGGCCTGTGAGTTTAAACCTATTTTCTACCTTTTGTGCCTTTCCAAAGCCTGTACTCCAGCATACACAGAAGTAGATACATATATTTTAATAAAATTACCTGATTTGACTGGCTTCAAAGCATGCACCCACCTTATTAAAGTGATGCCATCTATCCTGTTTTCTATGAAAGGTACAACTCTTGAACACCAGTCAAAGGATTTTCTCTGCAGCTTCAGGGAATGGTGAGATAAGAGTAGAAAGTTAAAGGGACTTATACAGACAATCATAGAAACCAGCTCGAAAAACGAACTTTAATTTGAACAGTTTAAGTGCAAAATTTTCAAAAAGAGACTTTTGTGGTGAAACTACTTAATATCCAACATTTTGTGTTAAGTCTGCCTGCTTTCCAAATAAGGTGTCCCCCCGTCCCTCTAAATTACTGAACATAAAAGCTGTAATGTTATATGTTCCCGAGGGGCAGAGAGTAATTCAGACATGAAGTAATTTTAATAGAAATCATTCCTCTTTTCTTGGCAAGAGAAGAATTTCAGTAGGAATTTTTCAAAATTACAAAATATCCTTCCCTGGGGGATTCATGCCGCCACTTAGCAGATTTCTCATTTCATTTAACACAAATATTTTGATCCTCACGGGGAAATCTGCTCAGTTACAGTTTCTGCGTTACTGTCTCCCAAAGATAAACGAGGTGTTTTTCTCCAAAATGGACACAGGAGAGGTAAGGTGGGAGGAAAATAATATAAATCCCAGGAAGAAATTTCTAAAAACAATTGACCAAGCGCTTAAGAATGGAAACAGTCTTCAATTTCTATTTCATTTTCATCTCAGAATGATTTCAAACAGGAGAGATATTATTTTTTTTCCCCTCTGGGAAAATTAGCTTAAACATCTGCCTGGAGGTAAATAAAGAAGAAGGTGATCTTGGAAGGCAATGGAACTTCTCTTTCCTTCCCAATTCAGATTATCACAGTGGCCTTCTGGAAGGATGGGCGGAGAGGACTTTGGGCCTGCATCTGGACTTAGCTGAAAAGTGCTCTCTGATAGAGAAGCCGTGTTTGCTGAAGAGTTGTGGCGAGGATGCTTTCCATTTGCTGACCTTGGACTGGGTGTCATCTTTAGCATCAAGTGCTAGCACACCTGTGAAGAAGATGCAATTTGTCATCCGTGCCTGTTGCCAAGTGTTCTCTGCTCTCAAGATCTTCTGTAACTGAGTATTTAAACCTGCCCTTCTCAAGCAGTGTTAAAAATGATAGCTTGTCTTATAGATACTTTTATTAGGATTCTACTTTGCCAAATGACCAGCAGACTAATCTCCCATTTGGGATGGTGAGGTGGGTTACACTACATTCTCCAGTGGGTCTGTAAAAAACTCTGGGCTTGAAGTAAATAACTCAATAATGATAAGCACCAAGAGTTGCTAGGGAAAATAGGTATTTCTGTGTTCATCAAAGTGGGCATCTTTCTATTCTGTCTCTCTGAGAGATTGACACTGCTTTTAAGGTCAACTTTAGCACCATGTTTTAGTAATAAAATCATTTCTTTCTCAGAAGGTAAATGGTTTTAAGGCTTTCAGTGGAGGAGGCACTAAATGAGCTTTCAACTAAACTTTGGTGTCTTCAAATAAATTCAAGCTCAAAGCCCCTTACATTCAAACCTTAAGCATCAGGTTTCAGGTCTCTGTATTTGAATTAAAAACTCTAAACCCTAAAAACCTGAAGCCATGGCCATGTATATCTTTTCATCATTTTATCCCAGGAATGATCATAGTGGCTGGGTATATAGTGATCAATAAATGTTTTTGCCCCAGCAGTCTAGAAGGTTAGCAACACCAAGGGAAATTGCTTAAGAGGGCTAATCAGAGCTCTGCTTCAGTCATATAACATGTCTACCATGCATTCATGGCTGTTACAAAAATTCAGGGTCTAACAATTCTAACATATTAGCAGTCCATTGTCACACTGATTTTTATTTCCTAATGGAATATTAGAACTTTCATTGCTTGATAGATTGGCATTGGTGTCCAAATTGTCAAATGTTATGACATGAAGTTATAAGCCCTTATGGAGGAGAAGAAAAGCAGCACCCTAAAACCACAAGCAGCCATTTAAAAAAATACAATTACTCTTTAGAATTTTTATGACCATTTATTTAAGTTCTAAGAATTTTTAAAGTGATATGTAAAAACACCATAATGTCACAACTTTAAATCAGATTTTAAATGAACCCCTTTGTAAAGAAGCAGACGTTATTAGGTCAATAACCTCTTTACTCTTCTCTGTTGTTAAAGTGAACTAAATATGGCCTGAGAAGGACTCTGTACTTCTATATTTGAGTCCTTGTGGACAAACTGCAACATAGCTTAATAGCTAGACAAGATTGAAAACCTAATTTAGGATTATGTGCTTGTAACTGAGTCTTGACCAATCCCAGTGGCAGTACTTCAACCATTCATACAATGCTGAGTGTCCAAACTGTGCAAAAATAAGGCAAACGCCAACTTGTAACTAATTCAGCTGTTCTGTACCTCAATTCCAATTTCTGTACCTCATTTTCCTTATTTTGTCTATAACTTTCTTCCACCACGTGGCTACACTGGAGTCTCTGTGAATCTGCTGTGGCTCTGGAAGGTGCCCAATTCATGAATCATTCATTGCTCAATTAAACTCCTTTAAATTTAATTTGGCTGAAATTTTTCTTTTATCACTGTCTTCTGTGTTAGCTATTGTCAATTTTAGGCCTAGCAGAAGTCTCTCCTAAGTCAAGTACATAATGTAGGCTCTATACTCATGAGGCCAGGAAGAGTGTTAAATTTCCTGTGGCCAATTTCAAGAAGAACAAAGGCTCACCTAATTCTTTTTATTTTGCAAATGTGTGCTACACAACTTGTTCCCTGAAATGTGGGACAAGAGAATATGACTACATGGGTATAAACACATCTCTACTATTAATGGATTAATATTAATACTATTAGTTATTAATATTAAGAACAAATATACTTTGAGTGTTTACTATGGACCAAACTCTATGCTAAGAATTTACCATAAAATCTTCATGACAAACTCGTAAGGTAATATAAACAATCCCCTTTTAAGGCTTACAGAGGTTAAATGAGTTTCCCAGAATCACATTACTATTGAATATGACAAGTGTCAGATTTGAAGCCAGGTTTATCTAACTCCAAGCCCACCCTCATTCTCTTATGCCAGTCTATCTCCCATACCACTATGTGTGGAGTAATTTATGGTTGATAAAAGACTTTTACAATTTGTTCTGTTTCATTGAGTGAGGATTACTCATTAGGTGCATAATCTTTGTGGATTCCCTTATAAATAGGGGAGGGAGGTTAAAAGCAGTTAAGTTCACCCAGATTTGTGCAGCTGGGAAAAGCTGCATGAGGTGGGCCCAGTATCAAGGTACTCTGACTCTTCGTCCTGTGCTGTTTTTATTACATCAAAGACATCCAAGATTTCAGGGCCAGTGAACGTCCAATGCTTGCTTCCAATGCACTTTTCCTTGGAGGTGCAACTTGCACTGAGAATCAGAAGACAGAACCAAGCTTAGCAAGTGTTTATCAAACATACTGCAGTAGGCATTTCGTCCACATTTCCCAACTTTTGGGAGTTTACACAGTGCAATACCCAGACATACTTACAAAAGTTAGTGCCTGGAAAATAGTAGGCAATTCACAGACATGAACCCAAGTAGTAAATAAATAAGTAAACATGTGCATAATTCCAAAAATTATTAAGCACAAAAAGTATTCAGACTATAATTTCTGCACAATTCCTTAGTTTAAATGATGGGTCTGATTTCAACCCTTGTCAGTTCTAAGATAAGTAAACTGCTATTTATACTTAACATGAGAGAAAGACCCACAAATCTGTACTACAGGTGAGTTAGAAGAAGGCTGAAAGTTGTTGGGTGGGCCTGAGAAAAACTATTGGTTCATATCTCTATGGCCTTTTGCTAAAATGATTATTCTAAGATGGGGACCATGGGTTATTTTTAACTTCTTATCCCTCTTCCTCCAACGCCCAACAGTGTCTAGAAACACCATTCTAACCAATAGTAATGAATGGGCTTGAGGGCATTTGTTTACCCTGATATTGAAAGTAGAATAAATGGTATATGTGCATTTTTCTGCAGAGTAAGTCCATAGATCTCTTTGCATCCTTGGAATGCATGACTCTGCCAAAAAAAAAAAAAAAAAAAAAAAAAAAAAAAAGCCTAAATTGACTCTCCATCATGGCTGCATATTAAAATCATTTGTTTAGCTCTTGACAATTATGGATGGACCCTTACTGGTACTATTTAATCAGAATATCCTGGGAAGGGGTGATTAGTAGAGTCCACTAAAAGTGGTGATTAGTAAAAGGGGTGATTAGTAGAGTCCACAGATTAGTAGAGTCTGCTCAAAGTGTTGACTATCCCTAATCTAGAATGTAGTATTGTCAGTTATTTGAATGAGGAAGGAAAAGAAAAGTTGGAAAATTATGTGTATGTTTCTTGGGAGTAGTGTAAGTGGATAAAGAGAAAACAAACTGGAGAAAATATTTGCTTATCCTCAAATTTTATCTTTTGTTTTCTGCAAATAGCTTTTGGTATATTTTACCAATGTTTTTCTTATGAACTACTGCAAATATTTTCTATAAGTAGGTGGAGGTGTGGGATAGTATTTGTTTTGGATTATTAATCATTGTTTTAATGGCAATCAAGAGAAACAGATTTTGACTAATTAAACAAAAAATAAGATTAAAATGATTAGGAATTCTTACATAACTGGAGAAAAAGCGGAAGATCCAAGCTTCTGGGAAGGCCAGAACATGGAATGACCTAGAAAGCCCCCCAAGACCTCCACTTCTTATGTTCCTCTATCAAGGTTCGAAATCTGACAGGCTAAAACTGGTTCAGGAGTCTCCTAGCTATGGCCAAAGGATGTGTATAGCCAGTGGGAGTCCACCTTTGTGTATGGGAAATAATTCCAGGAAAAACATTTCAGAAACATGGTAATTGATGTCTACTCTATTCATCAACGAATTTTAGTTTAACCTAGTCTAAGACCAACTTTCAAGATATAAAAATGCAGAGGAGATAGGAAAGTCATGGCTTCAGAAGAGGATGTCCACTGGAGGATTATACATATGGGTGGGGTCCGTTGTGGTTCAAATAGAAACATGGTTATCAAAGGACAGTGATTTTATGATATTTACCCTCAAACAACTGGTAAAGGATCCACAGTAAGAACTTAACTAGTCAAAATCTGTTTCTCTTGATTGCCATTTAAACAAAAGTTAAATATAACCGGTTAAAGCAGAGCTTACATGGGGGTGGACAGGCCACAGAAATGGAGAGGGCCTGAGCCTAAGCTGGGTATCTAAACTTCAGCACTGTTGATCTTTGGGGTCAGGATAATTCTTTGCTGTGTGTGTGTGTGTGTGTGTGTGTGTGTGTGTGTGTGTGTGTTGGCGGACCGCGGGGGTCCTGTACATTTTAGAATGTTTCAAAGCATACTTGGCTTCGCCCAATAGTTGCCAGCCATGACAAACAAAAATGTCTCCAGACACTGCCAAATGCATCCTGCAGAGCCAAAGTGTTCCTGGTTGAGAAGCACTAACCTGGAGTATGATTGATGAGTCACTGGTTTAAGTCCTAAGGGATTATTGAGCTCTTCTTGTATGCATTGTGGTGGGTGCTGGAGTTACAGAGATGATTGAGACACTTCCTCTGTTTAAACAGGTCATACAGTGATAGAGGCAAACAAATACAAAGAGAAAATGGAAAGTTGTATGCTCTGTTGTGTCATCACCACCCAGGACATTCCTTGGAACATATTACTCAAATGGTTGCTCAAATGGATGTTGAAAGAATTAATGAAAATATATCCTTTCTTAGCTATGTGTCTTAGGACAAACTGGTAATCTAAAGAACCTCAGTGTCCTCATTGTAAAAACAGGTATAACAATGTAGTGAGGTTTACATAACATCACATATGCTTAGCATTCAAGAAAAACATACTATAAAATAAAGAGTGTAAAGTGCCCATTAGGAAGTTTTCCTGCTTTCTGGAATTGCTAACAAACCTCCTCTCTTACAAAGAGAGGCCATTCTAGCAGCACCCAGTCCTGTCTTGTTTATACAGAAAAAACTAAAGAAGGAAAAAGGAGGTTGCCCTTTGGAGAATACTGAACTCTTCTCCCCTCCACAGGATGAAATTTACTAGGTGCTAACTTCCTCACAGTCAGAAATATCTGAGAAATTTTTCTCATTAAGTAAGGGATGGGTGATGCTGCCTCATTTGAAAGTTGTGTGTGATGCTGAAGGGGTGTAGAAGCGGGGCAGGGGAGATTGGACCTGAGAGATGGAGAACTGGGAAGACATACAGGGAACATCTGCAACAATCAGTATGTCAGCAAGACCTGGAGGCCGATGAGAGTAGCTGGGGTCTAAGTCAGCTTGCTTGGAACCCCCCAAGAGGGTAGAACAGAGGAATAGGTGGCTGAGGGGTTGATATGCACAGCTGCTGAGGGTTAAGCCACATCTGGGGCCAGAGAGAAGAGGAGGAGGCCAGTTTGTGCCAGCATCTTCCACAGGGAGAGACCCTCAGGGGTCTTCTGAAACAAAAGAACAAAAAACACATGTCCCCACAAGAAAAAGCCAATGTTTGGAAGCTGGATGCCCCCAAACAACTAAATGCAGTTCAGTAGAACTCATGACGGAAAGGAGGCAGAGATCTCGTTGCCATGGACACATGGGTGGTTTATGGTCACAACGGAACCAAATAAAACTGACTTGATGAAAAGTAACGGTCCACCTGGTCTAAGGATCCTTAAATTCTCTCAACTAGAATCAGGATTGGTCTCTGATCCTGGAGCAAGACTGAGCCTGAAGTGCATGGGGGTTGGAGGTCTGCAGGGCAGAAGGGTGGACAGGTCATTATCTCCAGTTCAGTCTCATAGATGTTCTATGCTTTCATTGCCTGATTGCTGGACTCGCACCGAAGCCCCGGCTTCTACAAGAAAAACGGTCTCACCTTGCGTTCTATCAATAGCACCAAAGGGAGTCTTCATTTCCAAAGGTAATTGCCGCAAACGTGTTACACAATATCATTCATTACTTGCTAGGATTGAGTGCTGAAAGTACATTTCACAAGATAATGAAGTTGTTTCCCACGGCTGAAATAACTGGTTATCTGACTCCTAGGTTCATCCCACATTAGGTGTATTACACACACACCTGTCAAAATAAATAACTTACTTGAGATGTGTCAGAACTCACAACAAGCTGATGAGAAATGTATAGGGTTGTAGAAAGCAAATCAGAGAGGATGAGTGAGTGCGGGGAAAATAATGGTCCGTGTCAACAAAGGGGCAGCCCAGCAAGAGAGATGAACATGGTGAGATTTTAAAACGCCCACATTCCCATTCTTGCAGGTTTCAGTGAACAAACAGGGCCACATGTGGTCACACCAAAAATACTGGTTTGAAATGAATTCCTGGCTGCAATGGTGTATCATGAAGCCAGCTCTGTAATTTACAAAGGTGACAGCCAAAGCAATAAAACTAAAATGGTTGTTTTCAATCAGGTAGACTGAGACTAGTGGGGGGTGGAAATAATATACTCCTTGGAGAAATACATTTTTATCAGGCAACAGGTGTCATCAAAAAAAAAAAAAAAAAAAAAAGAAAGAAATTGAACAACCTGCTCCAAACAGGAAAAGTTACAGGCATGGGCTTCCAACATTATTTATTAAATGGAAAACTATTGTAAAGGAAGTTTTAGGAAATATTTAGAGTAGCTTCCAAGAAGAAATGATGAGCTTAGAGAGGCATGGGAAAACCTAGTAGTAATACTAACGATACTAATAATAAATAATAGTAACGGTAAAGGAAGAGTACGAAGTGGAGGGGAAGAAGAATAGGAAGAGAAAGAGGGAGTAGGAGAGAGAGGGAAGGAGAAGAAATAAATCTTGCCTGATCCAACTAAATAAAGGAAAAAGTAAAACATGACACATAAAAAATCTAGACAAACAAGTGAGTCACAATTAGAAAAGGTGGTCAGGATGGGAAGATGAACACCAGTAAATACTGCAGAAGTAAAAAAGCTCCAATGGCAGCAGTCGTGTCTTGTGTGGCATCCTTGTTGAGCAATATCCTGTAATAAAACACCTTGAGTAGCACCAGCAGTTTGCAGCCATGACTCTTGGGTGCCTAAAGAGCTCCAATTCAATGCAGCAGCATTCCAGCCAAATGGACACGTGGAGGGATCGGTTCTGCCTGCTTTTGGCCTAACGAGGTCTAAGAACTTACTGAGCTTGGGCAGTTGGCCCAGGCATCTGAGGCTCTGAGTGTCCCCTGATGCTCTGCTACCCCCACCCCCACAATCCTGCTGCTTTTTCCTCCTCAGCACAACCAATCATAGTTCAGGAAATTTTGTGATCCAGCCATCAGAACCTTCACTTTGCCAAAGACAGAAGAAAAATTAGTAGAGAAAGGAAAGTCCTGGAAGAGAAAACTGTTGTGAGAGCTAATAAACCCATAATAGGGTTTATTTGTTAACCTCCAATAACATGACTGTTACAAGCATTACTGTCAACAATAAAATGAATAAAAGAGATTAAATCATGGCAGTGATGAAAGAATCATGGACTGTGGGACAGAAAAAGATTCAAACCCTGCCCATTGAGGGAAAATTGCCTAATTTATGTAAGCTTGTGTTCTATTGAAGAACACTATTATTTTGTAAGCTTACCAAGATTAAATTAATATTAATTAGATGTGCCTTTACTGAGTGTTTTTAACCTGTTAGGGCTTATGTTTAAGTATCTGTAGCATCTCAGTCAAACCTCACCACTGAGATAAGAACAATCCGCATTTTACAATTGGAGAGGCTAAGAAAGACAAAATAACCTGCATGAGGTTACAGAACTACTAACTGGCAGAACGGGCATTTGAAGTAGGCCTGTTTGGCTCCAGAACCTGTGCTCTTAACCTCCACAGAAAAATGCCCAGTGTAGCCCCTGACACATGGTGAGCACTTACTAAATGACAGCTCCTATTAGTACTGCAACTGCCTCCATTCTGGAACAAGAAGGCATGTAAAAATAAAAGAATGATTATTGCTGGTGGTGTTTTTTTCCATCATAGGAAGTACGAAATGCCCTGTTGTTTCTCACAGATATTTTGCCTAGAAAATTGTGAAGACTTTGCCTTCACAGGGAAATGAATTAAGTGAGCAGAATCAAACGGCAGAAAAACTTTTTTTTTTTTCCCTAAAAAGGCTTAGAGAAATGTGCCACTAAAACATGAGGCCCCTTGAAGACGCTGATGTTTCTGCTGTGATCTTCGAAGACTTGGAAGCATAGGCTCTCTTGGAAGGGGTTGATTAGATTTTTCCAAAGATGCTCTTTAACAGACTCAATAATCTTAATCATGAAAGTCCAAACAACATCATATTTAATCCCCAATTAAAAGCTTTTGTTTACTGGAAAAACTGGGGTGGACAAGATTTAAGAAAGAGCTTTGAGCTGCCCGTGGCAGTTGAAATTTCCTTGGGACTGGATTTGCTTAGATATTTGATTTCCTTCTGTAGTCGTACTTTTTGATATAAGAAACTATAAACATGTTTAAAGGCAATAATTTATAAGGAAATAGCTCCTATTAAAGAATTTTAGACCTTATTTCCTAATTAGGTAAGAATTACTGAGTTCTGACCAAGAGAAAAAAAAAAAAAAAACAGTGAGAAAATAGGCCAGGTGATTAGCAACCTATTTTTAGGACTTGACAAGCCAGTTTTATTGCTAAGAAGAAAAAGGGCTTAATCTATTTGTAGAACTTGATCATAGCCCAAAGCCATTTGTCACTGCAAGTTAAAAACCTCTGCTAACTTACTACTTTAAGCAGCCTATACTAATCCCTCTGGAAACCCAATCTTTTTACCTCAACACCAGATGGCACCAATCATCTTTAGGGGGAGGAAGAGAGGTGAATGAGAATGTTTACTTTTTGATTTTTTTTCTCTAAGAAATGAATCCATTTAAAATGTTAAATGCTGAGAGAATGAAATGTACAGGGCAAGTGAACCAATCTTCCATGATAAGCAGTCTCATAGCATTTGTTGTGCTTGACCAGGATCATTTTCATACTTTCTAAGACATTTAATTTGATAATATCAGGAAAAGGCAGTATTTCTAGAGTCATTTTTAAAAATCTATAAAAATATACATAACATAAAAGCACTTTGACCGTTTTAAGTTTACAACTCAGTGACATCAAGTACACTTACGATGTTGTGCAATCACCACCATTATCTATTTCCAGAACTCTTTCATCATTGCAAACAGAATATTAAACAGTTTTTAAAATAATTATAGATTTCCAGAGAGTTGCAATAATAATATAGGGATGTCCTGATAACACCTCACCCAGTTTCTTCCAGTGGTTATAGTTTATACCTTAGTCCATTCAGGCTGATATAACAAACCGGGTGTTTATAAACTGGGTGGCTTATAAACAACAGATGTTTATTTCTCATGGTTCTAGAGACTGGGAAGTCCAAAATCAAGGGGCGGGAAGATTTGTTGTCTGCTGCAGGCCTGCTTTTTTGATCGTCAACAACTGTCTTCTCCCTCTAAACTTACACTGAAGAAGTGCAAAGGAGCTCTCTGAGTTTTCTTGTTATTGTTGTTGTTGTTTGTGTGTGTGTGTGTTATAAAGGCACTAATCCTATTCATGAGGCACCCACTGTCAGACCCAACTGCCCCTCAAAGGCCCCACCTTTTAATACCATCACACTGAGAAATTAAGTTTCAGCATATGAATTTGGGAGGACATGAGCATTTAATCTGTAACATCTTATATAACTGTAGTACAATGTCAAAAGCAGGAAACTGACATTGGCAAAATGTGTGTATGTACTTCTAAGACACTTTATCAAGTGTAATTTATGTAACAACCACTACTATCAAGATACAGACAAGTTTGAATTAAAGGTGCAAGCCTCACCTCTGTTAAAGTCCTTTAATTAAAGTCCTTATAAACCCATTTACAATATAGTTACCTTATATATTTACTCTATATATGTTGAGAACCACATCACACTTATACCTTTTGCTTTAATCATCAATTATAATCTAAGAAAGTCAAGAAGAGAATAATGTATTTTATTTACCTGTATTTTGTTCTTCCTGTTATTTCTTCTTGATGTTCCAAGATTCCTTTTTTAATCACTTCTTTCTGTTTCAGGAACTTCCTTTAGGAATGGTCAACTGGTGACAAATTCTTTTAGTGTTTTTCATCTGAGAGTGTCTTTATTTCTCTTTCATTCCTGAAAAATAATTTTGCTGAATATAGACTTTAGCATTGACAATTCTTTTGTTTCATCATTCAAAAAATGTGTCACTTCTTTCTACCCTTTCTATTAAATAGTTTCTGATGAGAAATTCATTGTATTTAAATTGTTTTAATCCCATATGTAAGGTGTCTTCTCTCTCTTGCTGATTTCAAGATTATTTTTCCCTTATTTTTCTGAAGTTTGAGTATAACGTGCCTTCGTATGGATATGTTCGGGTGTAACCAGTTTGGGATTTACTTGGCTTTTCAAATTTATTGTTTATTACTTTTGCCAAATTTTGGTATTTTTAAAAAATCACCATCCTCTTTCTCCTCTCCTGGTATTCTAAAGACATGAATGTTAGCTCTTTTGTTATAATCCCACAGGTCCCTCAAAAATTTTTTTTTCAGTTTTTTTGTTAGTGTGTGTTGTCTCTGTTATTCAGACTTGGTCATTTCTGTTGTTCTATATTCAAGGTTACTGATTTTTTTCCCTTGTCTGCTCTATTACTGTATTTAGCCCATCCATTGAGTTTTTAATTTTGGCGATTGGATTTTTCAGTTCTAACATGTCCACTTGACTCTTCTTTATGTTCTCTATTTTTTCTTTGCTGAAACATTCTACTGTTTTTCTTTTTTTTTTAGTGTAATTACAATTGCTTATAGAATCATTTCTTGTGACAGTGCTTTAAAATGTTTGTTGGATAATTTTTACATCTGTGTTATCTTGTTGTTGACATATGTTGATTGTCTTTTCTCATTCTAGTTTAGATTTCCCTTGTTCTTCATATGATAGCTGATATCTGATTGTATGCTAAATATTTTGATGTTATTTTCTAAAACTCTGGATGTGATTTAAGCCTTCTGTTTTCACAAGCCTCCTTTGACATTACACTGGCAGGTGAAGGGGGATCCTGCCCATTACTCCAGGTGAAAGTGGACATCTAGATCCTCCAGATCATTCTCATTGACACCACTGTGTCGTTCTTCAGGCCCCAAAGTTTTCTCTACCTTTTGATATCTCCTTATGTTTTCCTTCTATATAGTTTGGTGGAGGGTTTTTAGCTGTAGTTAGAAGGAAGTATAAGAAATATGTCTATGGCCCTCTTGGTTTTGAACCAGAAGTCCTACAGTCATTTTATCTTATTTCATTTTTTTGTGTCTGTGTAGTTGGTGAAACATAGCCTCCAAGTGAAACTATAGTAATAATGATGCTTTAGGTTGAATAATTGGGATGCTTGTAGACCTTAACTTCTTAACAGTTTATTAACTTCTTAATGAATTGTGCACTTCTGGAGAAGAGCAGCACCAATTGGTCAATGACTGTTTCTACCACCTAAGGTGGTGGCAAGCTATTTGTTTTTGTAAAAAATGTGTAAGGAAGATTAATATTGTTTTCTTAAAAATATCAACTAATTTTTTTTCTTAGAAACCATGTAAAGAGGCTGTTTAAACACACCGGGAGACTTGGGAATGATAGCCTCATTCTAAGTTTTCTGCTCTTGACAGGGAAGAATTATGGTCTAAAGTGACACATGTCATTGATTATTAAATAAAGACACCATGGAAGGGGAAGGAAAGCAAAGTCTTCTGTGTATTTTATTCTTCTTCTTGACTAGAATAAATCTGCTGAATTATGAGCTTTGACTATCATGTCACAGAGAAAGCAGCCAAGGTTGAGTACACCTGCTAATTATAGGCCCAGCTCAGCAGGAACACCCAGTTGCTACCAGCAATTCAGCCAAATCACAACCTTTTCCTTAGAATGAAAATATCCCCATTGTAACCTGAAAGTTAGCAAATGGATTTAATAGTTTCTAGTTTTAAGTTTCTCTGATTCCTACCTCCAATGACTCTGTGTGGGATGATATACATCAGAAATTGGACATTATTTAAGAGCCACATAATAAAATTTTAGTCTTTACAAGCTGCACAGTCTGCTGCAACTACTCAACTCCACCATTGTAGCATGAGAGAAACAAGACCCAGAAACAAATGAGTGTTGCTCTATTTCAATAATACTTTGTTTGCAAAACAGGCAAATGGACTAGATTTTGTTGGAGAACCATAGTTTGCTGACTCCAGGTATACACCATGGGGCAGGATAGTTTACTGAAATATTAATTTATATTCCTCTCCTGTAGATTCTCATTTCTTCATTCCCCTATAGACAGCTTTTCTCATGTTTTCTTGTCTTAGGAATTTTGATACATAAGAAATCAGAAGTAGCCTGAAGTCAAATTTTCTTCCCCCTTCTTCTGAAATGCAAGGCACAGGGTACAAGCTGACAACGGGAAGCTTGAATAGGCCAGTGACACATTTTGTTTGGCCCAAGTGATGTTATAAAAGCATTTGATTTAGTAACCAGTATTTGACAATCAGGATGTTTTATATAAAAACGCAGATTTCTGACTTTTCTTTAAAAACCAGCAGATCTGGCACAAAGGGGCTTGCATCCCTCCTGGTAATAACTGGCTACTGCAGAAAAACAAATACCTGTTTTCAACAGTTTTCCCCAGTCCCCACTACTCCCTGTTATCTTCTGAAATAAATTCTACTGTTAGATGCCATTATAATTTTTCACTGACTGTTTTATGATAAGGAATTATTTCTTTATCTGAGTCCCTACACCAGTGTTTATATTAATATATATTAACCTTTGAGCTCCTTATTTTCTTATCTGCCATCCTTGACCTGAGACCATTGTAGGAATAATGCTAAGTGTCCCAGATGATGATGGAAGAAGAAAAAGACTTTAAAAGGAAGGGAGAAAGAAGATGTTTCTCTAAACCCTCCAGTGTTAAGATGACTGTGGAACTCCAAGACAAATAGAGCCAGCAGTATTCTGTGTGGCTCTGGCTGTTTTGAAACATGTTGCAAATGCTTTGGTACTCCTTGTGTGAAACTGGGTCAGCCATAGTGACTGTCTCAAGGAGAATGTTGTAGAGGTTATACTGGGTAACTTTTGTGGCAAGAAACCATGTCTGCAGGTTTCTCTTTGGCACTCCTTCTGATAGACTTCACCAACTACGTAAGAAGTCTGGCTACTGTGAGGTGGCTATGTAGAAGGACAACATAAAGAGACCACAGTGAGAAAAAGATGTTCTAGGAGCCCCAGCGGTTCTAGCTCCCAGCTTCCTAAACACTCCCAGCACAGATCCACATATGTAAGTGAGAAACGTTCAAAACGATACCAGCCTCAATCGCCATGTGACCGTAACTTCATGAAAGACCCTAGGCAAGAACCACCTAGCAGAGTCAGTCAATCTTCAGAGCAAGATAAATGACTGTGACTGCTTTAAGTCACTGTTCTGGAATTTTTAATTTTTTTTTGTTTTTTGTTTTTTTTGAGACAGAGTTTTGCTCTTGTTGCCCAGGCTGGAGTGCAATGGCATGATCTCAGCTCACCACAACCTCCACCTCCTGAAGCAATTCTTCTGCTTCAGCCTCCCCAGTATCTTGGATTACTGGCATGAGCCACCACGCCTGGCTAATTTTGTATTTTTAGTAGAAATGGGGTTTCTCCATGTTGGTCAGGCTGATCTCGAACTCCCGACCTCAGGTGAGCCGCCCACCTCGGCCTCCCAAAGTGCTGGGATTACAGGCCTGAGCCACCATGCCTGGCCGGAATTTTTATTTTTTTTAATACCGAAGAGACATCTGTGCTCTGGTGTTCATTGCAGCATTATTCAGAATGTGTGTGTGTGTGTGTGTGTGTGTGTGTGTGTGTGTGTGTGTGTGTAGTGCTCAATTTGTGTTCCAGTCCAGTGCTTTGGATGAAGATTTTGGAATGTCCTCTGCAAGCTCTCTGAACTCCTTTCTACTTTGAGTAGTTACATGGTAAACAAATAAATACATACCGCGGAGAGTTATTTCTCTAAAGTTCCTCCCATCTTGTTTACGCTCCTACATACAATTTCTTGAAATCACAACAATTTGGATATGAAAATGAGTATGATACCATTCTAGAAAAGAAAGGTGGCAGGTTCAGAGCCTCTCTGAGAGAAAAGGATCTTTAAAAGTAGTTGAGAAAGGAACCTGGAGGGAGATTTAAAAGTGAGAGAGGAGGGGTTTGATGAGGCCCCAGAAAGCTTTCTTGTAAATGAAGAACAGCTAAATGAGCCATTTGTAAGCAAATAACTGAAGAACTGAAGAAAAATGAGTTGGGGACTGGTTTTTGTTCAGGCCAAGTAATATAGCTAGTGCCGCTTGGCAGCAGCAGAACTGAGAAAGCAGCAAGACTCTTAATTGCAATTTCTAAACCTTCTTGCTGAGGAAAGAAAGGGGAGAAGCTGGGACAAGATGTCTGAGTGCTCCTTCTGCTAATTAGAAGTCTCCACAAAAATAGATGGTTAGATACTCTTTTGGCCCCCATAATTCCTATAACTTCAGCTTATGGGCTCTGGGGAAAAGCAAGTGTTGTAAGATTTCTTCAGAATAAGTTATCCCCAAATCCTTTGCGCCTTATATTAACAAGTCAAATATGCGCCTGCAGCGACTGCCATATGCAAAAATGTAGCAAAAAATTGTGCAGCTGAAACTAAGACATACACTCCTCTGTGGAAAGCAATACTTTCAACACACTTGGCCTCTGTTTCATGTATTAAGATGATAAAGTGGCTTATGAAGGACAGAAAGACAAAACCAAGGAACAAAAAGGAAATTTGAAGCAGGCTATCCTCCTAGTCTCTTAAAAGGCATCATCATTTCAAATGTGGTAATAAGACCTGGACCATCTGCACCTGAGTTACCCAAGACTCCTATTGAATGCTTCTAATTACAGGGGAGAGCCCAAATTCTCTTTGAGGTCAGGAGAGACATAAAGGCATTCTGACCCCCTCACCTGAGTATGGCAAGAAAAGAGGACTTTGGGTTCTCATATGTTCATTCTTGTCGCAGTATGTAGAGAAAATTACCTCAGAATTATGCCCTGGGCCTCCCGAGGGCCATAAATTTAAGAGAGAAGATGATTCCAGAAGGCAGTGAATTCTTTCT